CTCCGATTGAATACCTAGACGGGAGAAAACTTTTTTCGTTTCACAGAAATTCCTGGTAGCAAACATCAAGGTTTAAATGAAAACCAAAGACAGTGGTTCCCAATTTTGCCAGTTCCACAGGAATGCAAAACTTTCAACTAAAATGGCCCGAAATCCGGAGTTGTGGTATTCATGCCTTGATTATGGTCAACATTATTGTCCGTTCACACCGAGTTCATGCACTGTTAGTGGCCTATGAAGCGCCAACCAACCTGCCTAGGTAAACCTTTGTCTGTCTAGAAGATATAAAAGGGATAAAAGTAATAATAGTAACACCTTTTTGGTGTGTAGCTGCAAAGTCAACCGAAACACTAGGGCTGAGGTACTGCCAGGTTTCAGACAAAGCAGCCGAGACAGAGAGGCCGTGTTCGAACTACGGACCTTCCTTTCAGTAAGTTCGCACCCGCATCACTGAGCCCGGTTGTTTTATTAGTCAAACAGGCGTTTTTAAAATGGCCCATTGCAGCCAACTGTACGCAACATCGCACTTCAATACGCCTTGGAATTGTTGTCCAAGTGTGTTATGGTTATTGGGATCATCATCACAAATGACAGCGACATCAATGTTGACACTGACTTCATCCTGCCGTATGACCGTAAAGTTCAACCAAGAATATTTAAAGCCTTATAGTGGAGAGAAGAGGAAAAGTGGGCGAGAGATGCAACCTAATGCCGACCCATCGCAAGTATTCTGAGGTGCTCACACCTCCAAGCACCCAAATAATCTGGAAAATTGGCAGCACGAACGCCACTGACGTGAATCAGTGGCGTGCAATGTCTTTAAACAAGCGCAGGCGGGATCATGGTAACCCAATCCTGGTAGGTATAACCCACCAACAACACAAACTCTTCGTAGTATCTTTCACACTGTTCTGCCAATTCATACATTTTCCGGCTTGCGCCATCCTGAAGGAGCAACGGAGAAAAAAGCTCGTCTTGGCAGACAGTGCTGCAGATTGCGTAACACATGGCGGAGCCACCGCAGTTGACGGTGCTAGATGTGATCCGCGATTGAAGTGCCTGCCGCACAACCAGGTACAGGTTTTCTAATCGTGAATCGCACATTGTGTTGTGGTCTGACCAGGCTGAGAGTATTGTGGATTAACGCCACAGGATTTCTTTGCCTTGGATGATGAAATGAACTGCAAACCAGCGAATACCAAGACATTTGTGTGAATGACCGCACTTTTTCACAACGAAGTGTGAGTCTGGGTTGGGCATCAAAAGCATTAGATGAATGATATTAGGAGAACACACTGGAACACTTTACTGGTTGAAATCGAAAAAAGATGACACGCATCGAATCACTTGCCAGAAATTGACGTACTTCCGAGCGCTAGTGAGAACCGTTCAGGGGGGTTCGTGGAGGGGGTTGAGGCGGTAGGATCATTCCGCACACCCATGGCCGAGGTTTCCTTTAAACTACTGTCATGTTATTAGTAGTTAGATATAAAACGCCAAACATTCTGGCTTATGAATGACCACTTGCCGATAGCTCAACCGCGGTGCGCCACTTCCTAACCTAACATTCCTTCACAGTTGTACTAACCCTCAGAAAGTAACCTGAAATGTGCACCGAAGAATACACCAGGGTCTTAATTCCAGTAAGGATCCAGAACGAGCCACTTGAAGGCACAAAACCTGGTGCGGCGGCAGCAGGGTAGCAAGGTGTGCCAACCTCGGCCCACATTGTTTAAGTGGGTTAGTGGTTCAACAGCATTCAAAAGATTGACGCTTTTCACAGCTAAAGGTAACTGGTCAGCCAGTTATTTTGTAACCAAAGTGCTACAGGAAATGGGTTTCCGTTCAAGGGTGCTTTTAATGATAGACTGTTGTTAGCGCGTCACATGCATGGTTGGCTGTTCCAGTCTCTTCGTGACGGCTGTTGTGCAGCTTCAATTCAAATGACAACATGCACTCAGGAAGATCTTACTTTGATCTAACCTGCAGAGACAAGTTTAACAGGCAGGTTAAAACAGCAGACGAAGATTGGACACAAGGCAGCGGCTTGACATCAAATGACTGTATTTTAAGTCTCTACAAGCAGGCCTATGGTATCTGGTTTTCTGTACACACTCTCAACACAGACAATACATTACACTAAACAGCGCGTGAGGATATATGTAAACCATATCATGGTCTATGCGAACGATATCAACCATTTCGAAAACTACTTCTTCGGGACGGACCTATCGACAGTCAACTGCCCACATATAGCTCTCTTTCTCTCTCTGTATATATATAT